CCACTGAGAAGACCCCGGGATCATGACCTGAGCCAAAGGCAGGCACTTAACCCACTGAGCCACCCAGGTGCCCCTTGCTTTGTCTTTTTAAAACAGCTTTTGGTTAAGCTGAAATCACTTTTTGGACTTCTCAGAAAATTCCAGATTTTAGAAAAAGTACGCAAGGAGTATTTCTCTAGAATATGATACTCACACTTTTCTTGGAAAAAATTGAAAAAAAGCACAACATCCACTTGCTATTGTTGAAGATATCTTGACAGTTTTGTGTACTTCCCTGCCAACAGCTGCATCTCCAATTTTGGTCCCCCTATCCCTTTAACACTGAAAAAAAATAAGCATCTTATTATTGGAGAAAAAAACTTAGTCTGTGTGGACTGGCTTTCAGACTTAGTCTGAGAAATCAGTTTTGATCAAATTACTTTCTGAACAAATGGCCTTTGACTGGGTTGGTGAATGGATAGCCCATGCAGCCCGGGTTTCAGCAGCTTCCTATCTGTTTATCACTGGTGCTAGGCTTGTTCTCACTTCTATTCTCTTCCCTCCTGTCTCATTTGGCATAAGAAGGATGTCCTAGAAGAGGACACTGTGCCTTCTTTCTCTCTATCCCCCGCCCTCATTTTTCTTGAATGAGTGCCCATTTGCTTATGGCCTGTCTCTCTGGATACAAACCAAACATCCAGAATGCTAGAGCTATTCCAATAGCCGTAATTCTAATTCAACCTTTTTTTCCTCTCACAGACGAGAAAAGTCTCTGATTCCCCTACTCTTCTTACCACTAGATACACTTGGTATGGGGAATTAAGACTGGAAGTACCTACATCTTTCCACATATGCTCAGAATGAGCTCTCTCAACATTATTAGATACTGAATGTGCCAGGCACAAAACCTGTTACAAAAGGCAGAATGGTCAGGCGCCTGGGTGGCTCAGTCGGTTAAGCGTCTGCCTTCTGCTCAGGTCATGATCCCAGGGCCCTGGGATGGAGCCCTGCATCCATCCCTGCATCAGGCTCCCTACTCAGCAGAGAGTGTGCTTCTCCTCTCCCTCTGCCCCACCCCCTACTTGTGCTCTCTCTCACATAAATATATAAAATATATATATATATATTTTAAAGGACAGAATAGGCTCTGTTTGGGGAAGGGATGTGACATGATCTTTAAAAACATACATATTTGTTTGTACTCACGTATAACAAGCACTAGGAACCACATCCTTCATCTTCTATGACTAGCCATAGACAGGAGAAGGGGCTTCTAGCACTTGAAGAGCAGTGACGTCCCTGGAATTGGATATTGCACGCTAAGGTGCCTGGGGGCCTGTAGTGCCGTGGGACTCAGTGCCTGGATTTATCAGAAGCTAAAACCAAAACAGACACTAGGTTAGTTGGAAAGCACCCGAATTGAACTTTATAGTTGAGCTTTAGTTGAGCTTTGAGTTACTTTTTAAAAAGATAACTCATTTCATTGAGTCAGTTCAGGTCACAAAAGACTCACTTCTACTAGCAAAAGTTGCTTTGCTTTCTGACTCCACATGAAATAAAGAAGACCAGCTGCCTGTGGCCGTTTCAGAACAACTGCCTCCTCAGAGAGAAGTCATGGCTGCCAGAGACCGAGGAAGGGCGCTCACATCAGGACCTGTGGAATTTCTGATCACACCATTGCCACCCCGCTTGTGCACTCTTTGTTTCCTTCTCACACAGTCACTCCCCACCCTGCTCAGCCTGCTCAGCCCTCCTTCAGCCACAGGCTATTTGTTATATAGTTGCTGCCAACTTGGCTGGTGAGGAGCCAGGCCTGGAGGAAATAGAGGGTCCTGGCGAGAACATGCACTGAAGGCCCCAACAGGGTCAACTCCTGACTCCTCCCACAATACAACTGTGCCCCCATTACAAACTGCAGGAAAGGAGACATCAATGCCAGGTCATCAGGGACCTGGTGAGCAAAAAAGTGGTCCTGCCATCTGGATACAGCCTCCCTGTGTGTGGAAGGGTGGCAGGAATGGAAAGGGAGGGCCACAGGGTCCTTTAGGGCCAGGTTCAAGCAACTCAGTCAGGAAAACATTCTGAAAACCTCTGGACTCTTGTGTGCTTGGATCAGACAAAGAAAACCCATCCTTGCCGTCCAGTGTAAGAAGCCTCAGACCAGGCAAACCTGAGAGAGTGTGGTCCCGCCAGGAACAGAGATTTGGCACCACTGAGGCTCTCTGAACAAAAGCCTGGGCAAGATCTGCTGGTTCAGCAGCAGCCAGGGTTCCAGGTTGGAGAGCCTCCCCGGACTCTGGCTTGCCCTGCCCAGGGTTGCTCAGCCTATCCCGCTATTTACCTCCTGTCCTTCCCTCCATCCCAGCACCATACTCCCAGCATGATGGATGGACCAGACACTGGCCTTACCTCTGGAGCGCTGGCCGCTGGAAACTCTGGCCTCTGTTTACAACCAGAGGAAGGTTGTAAATAATGAGCCTCTCCCTCCGGTGAAGGGAAGTTTGGGGATTGACTTTTTTTTGCCCTGACTTCTTTCTCCTTAGGCTTTTGGGTGCCAGCCTGAGGAGACAGGTTATGAGTCCTGTCGCTAGCGACTGGCTCATAGCTATAGCTCCAGAACACGTAAGAGATATTCACCATCTGGTTTCCCAGACAGAACTAGAAAAGGTCTAGAAAGAAAGCTCGGGTGCTGGAGCTAGAAGAGGTGAGCCTGAGGAGGTGGGACCACCGAGAGTGAGGCCGAGCGGCAGGTAAACTCGAAGAGGGTGGGGGACCGAGCTGACGCACGCGCACTTGGAACCTGGCACCTAGGTGACTGGTGGGACCCACTAACCTGTGGATTCGTTTTTCGGTTCCATGTCGGGTGGCGGGTGGCAAGGGGTGGAAATTAGTCTTCGAGGACTGTTTGCTTTACCTCTGCAGGTAGCCAGTGTCATGCACCTTCTCCTGGTCCTCGTGTCCAGGGCTGGGAGAGTATGGTAATTAAGAACAGCACCGCCCGGAGGAGACCTTGACCCCCCGCTGCGGCTTGCGGGTGGGCGGCGGGGACGTCTCCAGCCGGGGGTGGGTGGGGGACGTGGGGGGGGTGGCTTTCGATGATTTCTTTGAGTGAAGTTTAGGGGCGTATATAGCCTGGGTTAGCCGAGAAGGTGAAATGAGAATTTTTCCGACTGCACAGTTGCGGTGAGCAGAGGTTCAGCGGGACCCGCTGCGCAGTGAGTTAGGCAGGGCGCGGGTCAGGGCGGGCAGCCAGGGAGCGCAGGGCAACCGTTCCAGCCTCTGCTAAGCTGCGGTGGGAGCAGGCTGGCAGGCTTCGCGCGCGAAACACGTGCACGGTCTTCTTTCACTGTTCAGCTTCTGCAGGGTTTTTTTTTTTTTTTTTTAATAACCAAATACACGTTTAACTCTCTTGTTATAGATTTTAAAAGTTTAGTGGGCTCCACCCTACTTCCTTGCGCACACCACGAGGATTCTGTTCTAAGCACACAGTACTCCCCCCCTCCCCGCCCCCCGCCCCAGTATCTGAGTTGAAAAGGAACCTGGGGTCCGGTTTGCCAAATTCAATCCCTGCCCACAAGAGCTGGTCACTTCTCTTGTCTTAGTGAATACTCGGCTCTTCCTAAAGTCTTCCCCTCGGATCCCAGAGGAAGCCTAAGTGCACCTAGACAGCCTTCAGGTCGAGGTGGACTAAAACCCAGGCAGATGTCTTGGCCTTCCTAGGTCATCTCTAGACAAAAGTTTGGTCCTCTCTGGACTCTTGCAGCTGAAGAGAGGGATACAAAAAAACGGTTGTTTCAGTGGGGGTGTGACTTGAGAAGCTGAAAGAAGGGAAAAAGACAAGAGGCCAAATCTCCGCTTCCAGAAGCTCAGCCAAGTGGTCTGTGGCTTCCCAAGTTTGGGGAAGAGGCTGATAGTGAGTCTGGGGCAGGAGCCACTCCTGCTCCTTCAGCAGACTCCTAGGGAAGAGGAAGAGGAGAAACTGGATTTGTTTGGAAAATCTGTGCCCCATGAGGCATGGGATAGACCGTGTGACACGAAAGGGGACTTACTGATGGCATCCAGTGGCACCTACCTATGGGCCTTTAACTCTGACAGCTTTGTCACCGAACCAAGGGCATCACCTGCAGAAGGCACAGTGCCTAGGTTAGCATCCCACAATCATTCACTCAGGAAAGAGACAACTTCAGTCAGGGACACTGTTCTGAGGGACTGCTGTCTGTTCTCAATGTCCACTTTCAGGATTGCCTTGTAAGGGTCTGCCTGCCCACACTAGTTAAAGCCAGAAGTACAGAGCCTGAGGCTAGAACAGTGTAAAGAGAAGGGGTGTTCAGTCCAGGATAGCATCTTACGTAGTGTATCAGGGGCATGTGTCCAAGCTCTGCACATCCATGTGTGATATGACCTCTCTCCCCCACAGTGGCTTCACTGAACTGTACAGGTGACTTTCTGTTTTATAGCTGCCTTGATGTTAAGTATTGTAGTCATGGAATATTTCCAATCCTGAAAAATCGATATGCATTTTATAAGCTTTTCATTATTGAGACAGGAACTCTTAAATGGGTATTCAGTAATGGATAAAGCTGTATCTTAACATCAACCTTGGCTTCTGTCAATTGACCTTATGGGTCAAAATTACAGCCTTTTCATTAAAATGACCAAATGAGTAATGTATCAGAGTGTAGTTTAAAGCTCCAAATATGTTTTCAGACAGAAATATTACAAGAATGCAAGTCAGGTATATTTCTCAGATAAATGACAGTAGGAGCATTGCATACACGGGAATTCTCGGTTCTCAGGTTTCCTGAAACCCAGCGCGCGCATCATTAATCATTCATTGGGGTCGGTCCTTCAGTCAACTGCAGCTCTGAGTAAGCCGAAGCGAGCCCTTAGCTAATCCTTCCTGCCAAGAGGATCCTGGGGTGAGAGAGGACAACTGGACAGTCAGCCACATGTGCTGGTGCCCAGACTTGCCCCTCATGCCCCGCTCCGAGCGCGGTGTGCGTGTGCGCTCACCCTCCCGGACACAGACCGAAAGCTTCCCGTAAGGAAAAACAAATTCGGCATAATGTTTAGCGCAACCCAGAGTTTCCAATAGGAAAGTGGCTCGAATCGTGGCCTAATGGCTCAAAGTGGCTCTCTAAATGCCGAATAAACCCACTCCTTAGCTGTTTAATAAATCAGAGACAACAACAAACAACAACAGCCTTCTCCTCCTGCCGCGCCACACCAAAGGCTTCCCAAGTTGGACTGCGAATCCTGGTCTGGTTCCCGGCTGCAAGCACTTTGAAGCGCTGGGAATCTCTCAGCCGGACTTCGTTCCCGAGGGATTCCCGGGGCTGGGGTTGTGCTTGCGGGGTCTGCTGGGCGAGGGGAAGGGACCCGGGAAATTGGGTCCTGGGTGGGCAAGAGTGCGTTGCTGGGACGCAGGCGTGCAGCGGAGGTTGGCGAGGACGCGAACTCACTTCCACGTTTAGACCCCCCATCTCGATTGCTGCCCCTGGAGGACTCAAACGCTCGCGCCGAGCTCAATTCCGCGCAGCGTTAGCTCTAGTGGGAGGGTAGCCGGCTGTGTGGCGCGTGAGAACTGCTGGGGTGCGTGGCCCTGGTCTGCGCGTGCCCAGCGTCGGGGTGCAGCGCCTCTCCCCCCGGCTTCTCCTCCCACTCACTCTCTCCCATCTCCTCCCTCCTCCACACCCCCCGCCCCCGGGACCGCGAGGCTCCCTCCCCGCACCGGCCAGAGAGTACACAAAGCGGCGGGTGAGGGGAAGCTTTGCAGGCGTGCACCAAGCAGTGAGATCACTGGCGTTATAAATATCCCAGCACCCGCGCCGAGATCCGCTCGAGTGGCCTCTCTCTCTCCCTCCCTCTCTTCCCCGAGGCTATGTCCACCCGGTGCGGCGAGGGGGGCAGCGCCAGAGGCACGCAGCCGCGCGGGGGCTACGGAGCCCAGAACCAGCCCTACAAGATGCACTTAGAAACCCCGCGGCTGGAAGAATGAGCTTGTCCTTCCTCCTCCTCCTCTTCCTCAGCCACCTAATCCTCAGCGCCTGGGCTCAAGGGGAGAAGCACCTCGCCCCCAAAGGGCAACCCGGACCCGCTGCCGCCGGTCGGAACCCGGGGGGCGCCAGCAGCAGCCGGAGCAGCAGTGGCACGACGTCTTCCTCTTCTTCCTCCGTCTCCTCCTCCCCCGGGGCTTCTCTGGGCAACCAAGGAAGCGGCTTGGAGCAGAGCAGTTTCCAGTGGAGCCCCTCGGGGCGCCGGACCGGCAGCCTCTACTGCAGAGTGGGCATCGGTTTCCATCTGCAGATCTACCCGGATGGCAAAGTCAATGGCTCCCATGAAGCCAATATGTTAAGTAAGTTGCTCGCTCTCCTGGCCAAGCGCGTCCTAAGCGGGCAGTGGGAGATTCGGGAAGGACAGCGGTTATTCCCTGGCCCACGGGAGCACCTTCTGGAACCCTGGCCGCTGGGACCCAGCTGGCCCTCGAAACGGCCGGGCGGGTTGGGTGGAGATGCGTCTATATGGCACGCACACGCGCACCCCTCTCGCGGGTATGAGGAATGGCGATTCCTGAGGTGTAGGCTACCAGAGGCTGGTGCACAAGACAGGTAGACCTTGTTTCCAGTTTGCCGGGGTCCCAAAGAGGAGCCTCCAGCCTGTGCCTGGAGAAAAAACAAAAATCTTCTTTCTGCTCGTTTGGTTCCTGTTTACCTCCTGCTTCTGTTTCCCAGGCTAGCATTTTTCAAGAGGTATCAAAGTGCATCCCTATTCCTTGCCCATAAGTGAACAGTTATTTTAGAAGAATCAAATCTCACATGCCGCCCCTCCAACTGCCACCATAAACCCCAGAGTAATATATATTATACATTTATGTATCCGTGTTTGTGTCTATTGTATATACATATTTGCACATTATATGCATTAGAATATCTACGTATATTCTAGGGGAGACCAGACATCCCCTCCTTGGAAGAAGACATTGATCTGGAAAACTGGACACGTTTAGAGAAAGATAGGTGATGGACATTTGAATGATTAATTTCAGAGTTGGGTTTGCAACTTTTAGTATGTTGAGACCATGACAGCACCTTGTTAGGAAGTGGCCAGCCTTTGGTCCCCAAGGACAATTAAGGAAAAGTTCTTTATTTTGGAAGAAACTCAGAGGACGTTCAATTCCTTACGGGTGCACATCGTGTAAGTTTTTTTAAAGCAAAGTTTTACATTTTCTTTCTGAGTTTTCTCTTTAGCTCTCTCTTCTTCCACTCTTCCCATCGCCTCTTTTCCTTCCACCCCCATCTGCGTTTCCAGACCATCACTAGCGCTCCTCTGATTCCTCTCACTGCCTCTAGGTAGCTGAGGGGAGAGAGGATTTGGGGGTGTGTGCGGAACTGGGGCGATCTCTTTGAGGCTCTTCCTCGGTAGGGCCAGATCGTTCATCCAGCAGGGGTTAATCCAAAAGACAGACCCACAGCCGGGCCTGTGAGGTATTCAGGAAGAGCGGGAACGTGGCCAGGAGATTGCGCTGCGGACGGTCACCTGGCTGTCGAGTGTCAGCCTGGTAGCTCCCAGGTGTACTTAACTTGCTTCGTTTCAAACCAACAACCCCACGGGCCACTGAGCTTCTTACTTACCCAAGCTCCGGAGGGGCGCGGGCGCCACAGCGGGGCTGGCAATCTGGCAGCCGCCTCCCAAGCAGGGTTGGAGGTGCGCACGTCGGTGGGGTGGCCGGCTGGCGACGCTCCTCCCGGGGGTTTCAGGAGGCGGGCTGTGGAAGACCTGGCGGTTCGCGCGGGAAGAGGAGCGGGTCCATGCCCGCCCGTGCCCCAGACTCGTCTTGCGACCTGTGCCGCTCCGGCTGGCCGTGTTACACGCGTTTAGGTGGTCTGGAGCCCTGAACCGGAGAGAGGGCTCTTCGAGTATGCCCTTGCGAGCCCCGGGGCCTCCCACGCGCTCCATGCAGGAGCCTGTTTCTAGGTTTTAAGGTTCATTTCGCCCTCATCAAACAACTCACCGTCTTTGGTGAGAAAGGGCAAGGTGTGTTAGGGTGAAGGGGAATTTTCTGAGATTTCAGGGACAGCGAGAGTCACATTTACTTCAGTATTGCCATTGGTCCTTCTCATTTCCCCCCACCCAATTCTTTACTCCATCAGATACCAGACAGAGCTCATTCCGCACTTCTAGTGATCTTTCCACCTCTTTTACAGGAAAACTTTTTCTGTTCTGTTCTTGTAGTTTATCCAGGAAATCAGCACCAACACAAGATAACTTCTGTGTTCCCAAGGGAGGACCCAAAGTTAACATGCAACAGGCTGCTGGTTGGATCTCGGGGGGGGGGGGGGGGAGGTTTGGGTGTACTAGGGATCTCTGAAATACCAGACTCATTCCCTATATATCCACCCTCTTCTCTTGGAAAAGACAAAGATTTTTGCTGCTTAGGCCTTGCCAGAGGGGAAGTTCTAGAAAAGCATACATAGGAAGGAAAATGAGAACAGATCAACAAAGAATACATTCACCAATTGACCAATTGACCAATATCTGCTATTTCCAAGGTACAGTTTATTTTAAAATCGACTTTGAAAGATACCTAAAAAAGAACAGGGATGTTTACTAAACAGCGCCTAAGTAGCCTAAATAAAACTTCCTTGATTTAACACTTTTCCCAATTCATTCCAGTATAGAATAGCCTTTCAGAGTTTAGTCTGTATCTTTCATATGGCTTGCCTTCATTCACTCATTCACTCATTCATTCATTCATTCAATCATTCATGCACCCATAATAGGCTACGGACATCATCAAGATTGATATTTTGATTACTTTTGGGAGTTGGGGGAATTTTAGTTTGTTTTTGCCTTCCATAGATTTTTCTCACAGAGGAAACCGTAACTTAAATGCTTAAATCATGGTGATGTTCTTCTTTGTGATGTCTGGAGTGTCCAATACTACTAACTATGATTTTGCCACCACTGCTGGATGAAGAATTTATGAAATATGTCATGTTTAGTGGGAAAGCATGTAATTTAAAAATTTAAAGTAAGCCTCTGCCCTAAAGAGCTGTGAAAGAGAAACAGAAGCCTGCTAATTGTTGGGTGGTCATATACCTCTTTGAAAGCAGCACTTGACGGTTTCCTGACACGTATGTAAACTAAGGTGTTCGTCATGGGCTGTTGGTTAGAGTTCATAAGGAAACATTTGTTGTTTAAGTCTCACAAGAGACACTGAGAGCTGGGACCAAAGAGGACCATAGATGATACACCAGAATTTTACCTCATCATCTCATTTTACTGTCTGTAAGTTAGCAATGATAAAAAACTTACATTTCTTTGGTTACAGCATGCTACTTCAGAAAAGAGCCAAAACTTTGCCATCAAACTCCCTTCTAGCAGGTTCTTTTAAGCTCAGTAATTTTCTGTAATGTTTGTCAGAAGAGATGCATATATATAAATATATATCTCACAACTATCATTTGACATTAACATTTCTGCAAACTGAATATTTTCTAGTTTTACCATCCGGAGTATACTCTGGCCATAGATTTTTGAAACACAATTTACTTAAAGCATACCACTTAATATGTTCTTAGCTTCTTTTATACAGTAGATATCCCAAGTTTGGAGACAGAAAAAAAAAAGCTCATTGCAGATACACTCTTATTATGAAGAAATACTAGGAAAGGGTGAAGAAAGATGGGCAAGAAAACCCAGATGATATAATCTAACTATTGAATAGAAAAAGAAGTTTTGCTTTAATGTACACGCTTTCAAGTTTAGCTTCAATGCTTCTGTTGACTTATGTCGGACCATTGAAGAATAGGCAGTCAAGTAATTAATCAATTCAGGGAGCAAAAGTTGAAGGATGTGGCTGCACAAAGCCAAAGTGTTCACATAAAATATGAAAATTCCAATCATATATTCTGACTAAACAGAACCCTCAATTTTACTAATTTTTAAAAAATCTAAATTCACTGTCAATTTTCATTTCATGTAGAGTCAACCTTTTAAATAGTCCCCCAAGCCTAGCTAAATCAGAATCTGTATCTACTGAATAGAAAAACTCAAATGGAAGATTTCTGTTACTAATTTAATCACTGAAAACTGCTAAACTGGGTATTTCAAGCCTCAGATTTGATAGTGATGTGGCATATCTGTTGCTGTGTGAACACAAGTAGAGAAACTTCAGTTTTAAATTATTTTTCTTCGAGGATTTTCAGATGAGCTGTTGAAAGCTTCTGAATACATGGGATATCTGTGTCTATTATGTCATTCACTAAGAAAAGAGAAAAGGGAAAAGTCTACATGATTTTATCAACCATCATTAATAGAGTCCTGTTGTATTAAAAAATCTGGAGAGGACTAAGGTAAAAAAAATCTAGACATATATTCTCTTACTGAAATAAACTTACTTTGTAATGCATGCCTATGCTTGTAAGTGGGTGGATTAAACAATGTGTGTATAAATTCTTGCCTCCTTCAATCTAGATGTCAACCCCCAAATTCCACCAAGAGAAAATAGGTTTTTTTCTGTTAAGCACTGCTTTTTTCTTTTGATCCTCTTACATGTTAACACCCTAGGAAAGATAACACATTGTCACCAGCACTCTAATGGGAAATAATTACCCTGCCTGACTCCCCAAGCAGAAGTCCAAAATCACTGGAGAGTAAACGTGTATCCATACATGTGTGCACATGGGGTGTCCTGAAAAAGGGAAGAGAGGTAGTGAGAAGGTCAAAGAAAACAATCCAGTTTAGCAGACATTTCATTGACTATCTGAGCTGTGAGATACACTTGGCCTTCCACAATTTTGCTTAGGGATACCATCTTGGCATCCATAATGTGAATTGTAAATTCCCATAAAATTAATTATTCTTGACTCTAGTAGGAGTCAGGAAATAACTGAAATTGAGAAAAATTTAGTTTTAGAGAAATGTTTTCTGGGATTTATATATGTGTGATTTAATGCATGTGGGTTTAAAATATTATATAGAATTCTTTAGTGCATTGCTGAGATTTGGCATAGTAAAATCAATAATTGTGCGATCTCTTGGAGGTGAGGTCAGAGAGTTGAATTGTAGAATCTGCTCCAACATTCTAGTAAAAAAGACATTGTGAAATTACTGTTGAATTACGTTGGAAATTATGATCTTAATACTGTTCTCAATATTACATCATAATTACATTAAGATTTAGAAGATCATGCCAAAGTTGCCTATGTGAAAAAATAATTATTTCATCTGATCTCATCTTTATCTTTCCTGCATTCTTCATACTTTTAAATAGAATAATATATGTAATAAAAATACATTTTTAAGCTTTCAATTAAATAAAATTTTTTAAAAATTATAAAATCCATTCATTCCCAGGCAGTATATCATTTTTACATTGGAACTTGCAAGAAAAGAAACCAAGCAGTATATAATAAAATAATAACCCTTTACGTATATTATTTCATCTTCCCCATGTAATTTGTTATGATGCAAACTTTACATAGCATATATACACAGAATGTACATACAGTGTGTTAGGAAACAAGTGACTCAAAATGAGTTTTTCTCAAAATAGAATACGTTACTTGTCAGAAGCTATAGTTTACATAGGCAAAGCAGTGCTCCCATCGAACAAATATTTATAGAGACTTTGTCTTGACCTCTCAAATGTTAACCTGTAAACAGATATATTTAATAAGAATTTTATCTTTTGGGGCTACCCTGTATTTTTTTCACTAACACACAGGTTTGCATTTACAAAACCAAGTAATCTTCCAAAGAATGGAATAAAAACACCAACCATGTAGAACCATGAGTAAATTGGGGGAAAACACAACTAACTCTCCTTTTCTACCAGTCCGCATTGTCCCTTTTGTTTCTCTCTTTCCACACATAGACAATTTCTCATGTTTCTGTGTCTCATTTTTTAACGCATTTACGCAGCATTCACAATTACTTCCCCATCTTCCAAATATCTAAAATCATTAATGCTGTTTTTAATATCATTCCGTAATTGCGATAGAAATATAACTTCGCATCATGTTCTAGTAATGCTTTATTAGTAAAATTATCACAGCATATTACATGGTGTATTTAACTTTACGAAGCATTCTGTGTGCTTTGTCACTCTTCGATAAAATGGTAATGCTTCTAAATCCTTGGGTGTGCATCACCGTCAAATAGTTTGTACAGCCAAATCTATTGAAAGGAGCATTTTGAAAACATTCTGAAGGAAATAACTTATGAGACAACAGTTTCTTTAGGAGTTTCTTCCTAAAAGCAAAAGTAGTTCCTTTCAAATAGTTTTTTGGGGTTTTTTGTTTTGTTTTCAAGAAACATCCACTAATGAAGTGGTAGTGGCAGTTTCCTGAAGATGTGTTTTATTTACTCTGGACTAAATATGCTTATAACAAAGACAATAGCTCTTCGGCTGCCCCCCCCCCCCCCATGAACTTTCTGATCAAGTGTTTTTAAGAAATCAAGTTGAATAAGTAAGCAGCAGGATTTGCTACAATTATAGGTATTAATTCACATTGTGCAAAAAAGTGCTTAATATATTCATATATATATATATATGTATTTGTATATATCATAGATATGTGTATCCACAGTATTGCTTTTGGTAAATTGAATAATTTTACGTGTACTTCAAATCCTGCAGGGGGAGGTTACTATTTTTTAAATTTCTGGTGAATTTCTCTATTCAGCAGAATGCTGTTGAGATATCCTAATTAGTATGTATATTCAGAATAATATAGATTGAAAGGTTGAGATTTTCTTCCCTTCTCCCATCCTTTCTTCTTTCCTTCCTTTCTTTCTAGAATAGGTCCGTTTTTAGCTCTAGTGAACTATATTATTTTGTCCTCCCCCACCTATTTTTTGGCAATTTGATGTAGGCAATTAACAAAAAGCACTATGCTTTTCTCATGTTCATATAACATTATATATGAATTTATGATAAACAGGCAGGAATTCCAATTATATACAGACTATGAATTTCGTCTTCTTAAAATACTCTTAAGAACTGTGGTATGTGGTATTCTCTTGACACAGTTGATGTGGACTTTCAAATTATTACAGGAGACAGAGGGACATTGACTTGATAATGCTAACTATGAAATACTAAATATAAACAGTAATGTAATAAAATACCTCATTAAATGTTTTGCCAGAAAAGCCATTTAAAATGCAAGATGTCTCAAACCGTAATGCATTAAACACTCATTGAGCCAATAATCCCAAATTATTTATAATGCTTTCAACATCTTTTTATGTGTAGTCTTTAAATGAACTACTCACTGAATGATTGAATATAGTATATATTGATTTGTCCTTGTATAGTTATTATAATTTGAGAAGAGGGATTTATTTCATGTAAATAAGTAGAATTTATCTCTGGCTTTCCGTGGGTTATACTAGTCTTGGGCCAGACTTTATGAGATTTAATATTAAAAGCAGTGTATTATCTCTGATAGAAAACAGTGGATTAGAATTATTTTGAAAAACATTTAAAGAAATTCTTTTCGATACCTTTACAACTAGAGAAGATTCTATTGTTAAACATTGCTTACTAAAAGTGACTTATTTGTAAGAAAAAAAAGAATTACAAATGAACCAAAAGTAAATTTTCGAATCTTAAAATTTGTTATTTTAAGTGAACACTTGCATGCTAAGCTTTTCTTTTTTAACATAATGAATGTCATGAAAAATAAGGATGTTAAATACCGTTCTTTTTTTTTTTTAATCACAGCTATAAAGAATGAAAAGAATCTATGTAGAAATTTAATTCTTCACAATGATATGTAGAGGAGTCTGTGTTTTATTTTGGGATTTCTGTCATCCTAGGTATTTTGGAAATATTTGCTGTGTCTCAGGGGATTGTAGGAATACGAGGAGTTTTCAGCAACAAATTTTTAGCGATGTCAAAAAAAGGAAAACTCCATGCAAGTGTAAGTAGAACCACTTTATATTTGTTAAAGGTCTTATGGAGATTTTACATTTGTAGAATGGAATGAAGTGATTTTCCACATTGGTAGATGAAAAATTTGCTCAAAGGATGTAATTTTTTTAAATTATATGTACTTTTAACCAAGATGTCTTTGTAAGTAATCATTTTTATATTTCATTAACTTGAAAAGATAATATAGAATCCACAAAAAATTTTTAAGGATGAATGTATTTGAAAATAGCACTCTCAAAGTGATCGCCATTATTTATTTCTTAAAATTGGCTCAACTGAGGGAAAATATTATGGAAATGATAATATTATATAACAGTTAAAATGTCCATGTTTATGGTGATTGTGTGTGCATATTTAGTAGATCAAGTTCTTATTCAATTTTACAAGATATTCATGATGTGAAAAATTAGGTCTAAGTAATATAACATATTTTCACATCAATAAGTATGGAGAGAAACCAATAATGAGAAGATTTTGATCTTCCTTAGAGAAATTTAATTTATCCATTTGAGGACTCTCATTTTGTATTTTTGTTGCATCAAAAACAATACTTCTTAAAATTACAAAGACTAATTTTGCACTCAAAAGTTTCTTCAAGCCACTTATATGTTTTATAATCAATTTACAAATTATAGATTTCTGTGTTTTTTCTGAAAATGCTCACTACTTGGGAAGCATTAAAACATTTTAAAGATAATAAAATATGTCTAGGTTGGTTTTTCTACTCACAGATTTGATTTACTTATATTAGTACATATGCACAGCACTTAAAAGTGATTTATGTTTTTTCTATAGTGTACTAAGATTTGTCACATTATATCATTTTTACAAAGCAATTATATAACGTTAGTCCTTTACTTCGTTTTCTCTTTAATTTTTACTAAATGAATTGGAGAAATACCACTTTTCTGGTTTTTGAAGTATATAGGAAATTTTAATTAAGAGTGTAATCAATTGAAGCTTACTATTTATGATTTTTAATTACAGTTCTTTAAAAAATTCATTGAGAGTTTCACTTGTTTCAATGTGTAAGAATTTCAACTTTCCTTTTTCTAGTGTTCAATTTTCCTTTTTCTAAAAGTGACTTGTTAATGCCTCTCGGAGGGGGTAGCAGAATTCAAGCTATCTCTACAGTTATTTGAGGATTAAATGAGATAATACATTTAAAACTTTTAAAACAGTATGTGGTACATTATAAGTGTTCAGTAAATGCTATCTATTATTATACAGTAATCTAAATATAATAGAAATCTCAGTGGATTAAGATAAATGAAAAACCTTTGCTAACCTCTTTAATCACCGATTGCAAGAATTATGAAAAGATTTACCTACTTCATCTTCTGAGGTGGTTATTGTAATCTAGCAAGCTATAATATAGTTCTCATAAAGTAATTGCTCTTTGATTATTTATTCTAAAGGGTAAAGTTCTGCATCTCTGTGCACAAGTAGGACGTGCCATTTTTTTTTATTTTATTTTATTTATTTATTTATTTATTTATTCATGAAAGTCAGAGAGAGAGAGAGAGGCAGAGGCAGAGGGAGAG